TTGGTCCAACAATTACATAAAATCGGATAAAATCGTAAATCTAAACCGATTTTCATGAAACTTAGCACAAATTATTATAGACCCAAATGCTAGTACGCTATGCCCAATTTCGTGCAAATCGAAAGATATATAGGGTCTTTGGTACACCAATTACCTTAAATCGGATGAAAATATATATGGGAGCTATATCTAAATCTGAACCGATTTTCAGGAACTTTGCACACATCATTCTAGACTTAATTCAGTACGCTATACCAAATTTCGTGCAAATCGAAAGATATATAGGGAGTTTTGTACACAATTTACCTTAAATCGGACGAAGATATATATGGGAGCTATATCTAAATCTGAACCGATTTTCACGAAACTTGGCATACATCATTCTAGACCTTATTCATTACGCTGTGCCAAATTTCGTGCAAATCGAAAGATATATAGGGACTTTTGTACACAATTTACCTGAAATCGGACGAAGATATATATGGGAGCTATATCTAAATCTGAACCGATTTTCACGAAACTTGGCATACATCATTCTAGACATTATTCATTACGCTGTGCCAAATTTCGTGCAAATCGAAAGATATATAGGGATTTTATTACACAATTTACCTTAAATCGGACGAAGATATATATGGGAGCTATATCTAAATCTGAACCGATTTATATGAAATTTTACACACATCATTCTAGACCTAATTCATTACGCTGTGCCAATTTTCGTGCGAATCGAAAGATATATAGGGACCGTTTACATTAAATCGGACGAAAATATATATGGGAGCTATATCTAAATCTGAACCGATTTTTCCCAATTTCAATAGGGTTCGTCCTTGGGCCAAACAAATGAGCTGTGCCAAATTTCATCCAATTCGGATCATAAATGCGACCTGTACTTTGTTTACAATTTAACATCTACAGACGGACGGACGGACATGCATAAATCGACTCAGAAAGTGATTCTATGCATACTCTCAAAAGGAAACATATGCACAAAGACATAATACCCTGTACCACAGTGCGGTGAAGGGTATAAATACCCGCCTTTGAAAGCCCCTCTAAATAATTAACTAAAAACCACGCCTTTGATGGACCCCCTCTAAAATAATTTAAAAAACGGAATCCTTTGATGGACCCCTTCTAAATTAATTTTTAGAAAATCCACGCCTTTGATAGGCCCTCCAAAATAATTTTTAAAAATTTCACGCCTTTGACATATATTTTTTAAATCCACGCCCTTTTTCGCTTCACATCCCCCACATTTTCCACTTTAAACAATTTATCAATACTACATCTAAATAAATATACTCCGCTCAAACACGCACACTGTCATCTAACCTAGGATCCACATTGAAATTGATCCAATCGTGGACCAGGCGAAAAAAATCAGAACTTTCCAAGTAAACACAGGCACAAAGCCAATTAGTTGTCTAAAGACAGCTAACGGAAATGATGCTAGTCAGAGATGCCAAAACGACACAAAATTCCACCTAACTGGAGATATACGTGCGAGCATCTAGGGACCGACACAACACACATCCTGTAGCAGTGATTTGGAAAAATGTTGTCTGTAAACGATTGTAGGTAAAGGCCATGTATGTGCGTGTGTAACACAAATCAATGGGGCGGTCATTTTTTAAGATTTGTGGGATGCCAATACCAACAAAAAATACATAGCTAGCCAAGTTTATTGGAACATACGAACACACACGCCCTCCTACATACTTATATAAATATATTTATAGGGAGCTAAAATCTGTCTGGGGAAAATCGAAATTCCTTTAATTTAATTCATTAGCACGTGACTATTTGGGGGAGAAAATACAGCGACAAACAACAACAACAATTTTGAAATTGGATTTATTGGCTGTTTTTGTTCTCCTCTGCTGCATTTCTTCCTATTACCTTGGAATGTGTGTGTGCGTTTCAATTGTAGCAAGCGCACCTGCGTTACTCAACACATTTTCCAATGTAATTGAATTTTCTTTGGTAATTTTCAAAAGCTGCTAATAGATGAGGAGCTTCTTTTTTGTCACAGGGGATTTTAAACAATCGGAAACAATTGTTCTCCAAAGTGAAGGAAGAAGGTCGAATGTTATAAAAAAACAGTTGCTGTTTTGAAAATTTCTCGAAAAATATTATTTAATAAATCCACGCCTTGGATAGGGCATCGAAAAATATTATTTAATAAATCCACGCCTTGGATAGGGCATCGAAAAATATTATTTAATAAATCCACGCCTTGGATAGGGCATCGAAAAATATTATTTAATAAATCCACGCCTTGGATAGGGCATCGAAAAATATTATTTAATAAATCCACGCCTTGGATAGGGCATCGAAAAATATTATTTAATAAATCCACGCCTTGGATAGGGCATCGAAAAATATTATTTAATAAATCCACGCCTTGGATAGGGCATCGAAAAATATTATTTAATAAATCCACGCCTTGGATAGGGCATCGAAAAATATTATTTAATAAATCCACGCCTTGGATAGGGCATCGAAAAATATTATTTAATAAATCCACGCCTTGGATAGGGCATCGAAAAATATTATTTAATAAATCCACGCCTTGGATAGGGCATCGAAAAATATTATTTAATAAATCCACGCCTTGGATAGGGCATCGAAAAATATTATTTAATAAATCCACGCCTTGGATAGGGCATCGAAAAATATTATTTAATAAATCCACGCCTTGGATAGGGCATCGAAAAATATTATTTAATAAATCCACGCCTTGGATAGGGCATCGAAAAATATTATTTAATAAATCCACGCCTTGGATAGGGCATCGAAAAATATTATTTAATAAATCCACGCCTTGGATAGGGCATCGAAAAATATTATTTAATAAATCCACGCCTTGGATAGGGCATCGAAAAATATTATTTAATAAATCCACGCCTTGGATAGGGCATCGAAAAATATTATTTAATAAATCCACGCCTTGGATAGGGCATCGAAAAATATTATTTAATAAATCCACGCCTTGGATAGGGCATCGAAAAATATTATTTAATAAATCCACGCCTTGGATAGGGCATCGAAAAATATTATTTAATAAATCCACGCCTTGGATAGGGCATCGAAAAATATTATTTAATAAATCCACGCCTTGGATAGGGCATCGAAAAATATTATTTAATAAATCCACGCCTTGGATAGGGCATCGAAAAATATTATTTAATAAATCCACGCCTTGGATAGGGCATCGAAAAATATTATTTAATAAATCCACGCCTTGGATAGGGCATCGAAAAATATTATTTAATAAATCCACGCCTTGGATAGGGCATCGAAAAATATTATTTAATAAATCCACGCCTTGGATAGGGCATCGAAAAATATTATTTAATAAATCCACGCCTTGGATAGGGCATCGAAAAATATTATTTAATAAATCCACGCCTTGGATAGGGCATCGAAAAATATTATTTAATAAATCCACGCCTTGGATAGGGCATCGAAAAATATTATTTAATAAATCCACGCCTTGGATAGGGCATCGAAAAATATTATTTAATAAATCCACGCCTTGGATAGGGCATCGAAAAATATTATTTAATAAATCCACGCCTTGGATAGGGCATCGAAAAATATTATTTAATAAATCCACGCCTTGGATAGGGCATCGAAAAATATTATTTAATAAATCCACGCCTTGGATAGGGCATCGAAAAATATTATTTAATAAATCCACGCCTTGGATAGGGCATCGAAAAATATTATTTAATAAATCCACGCCTTGGATAGGGCATCGAAAAATATTATTTAATAAATCCACGCCTTGGATAGGGCATCGAAAAATATTATTTAATAAATCCACGCCTTGGATAGGGCATCGAAAAATATTATTTAATAAATCCACGCCTTGGATAGGGCATCGAAAAATATTATTTAATAAATCCACGCCTTGGATAGGGCATCGAAAAATATTATTTAATAAATCCACGCCTTGGATAGGGCAACGAAAAATATTATTTAATAAATCCACGCCTTGGATAGGGCATCGAAAAATATTATTTAATAAATCCACGCCTTGGATAGGGCATCGAAAAATATTATTTAATAAATCCACGCCTTGGATGGGGCATCGAAAAATATTATTTAATAAATCCACGCCTTGGATAGGGCATCGAAAAATATTATTTAATAAATCCACGCCTTGGATAGGGCATCGAAAAATATTATTTAATAAATCCACGCCTTGGATAGGGCATCGAAAAATATTATTTAATAAATCCACGCCTTGGATAGGGCATCGAAAAATATTATTTAATAAATCCACGCCTTGGATAGGGCATCGAAAAATATTATTTAATAAATCCACGCCTTGGATAGGGCATCGAAAAATATTATTTAATAAATCCACGCCTCAGTTGGCCATTGAAAAATATTATTTAATAAATCCACGCCTCAGTTGGCCCTTGAAAAATATTATTTAATAAATCCACGCCTCAGTTGGCCCTCGAAAAATATTCTTTAATAAATCCACGCCTCAGTTGGCCCTTGAAAAATATTCTTTAATAAATCCACGCCTCAGTTGGCCCTTAAAAAATGTTCTTTAATAAATCCACGCCTTGGATAGGCTCTGGAAAATATTCTTCAATAAATCCACGCCTCAGTTGGCCCTTGAAAATATTGTTTAATAAATCCACGCCTTGGATAGGCTCTGGAAAATATTGTTTAATAAACCCACGCCTTGGATAGGCTCTGGAAAATATTGTTTAATAAATCCACGCCTTGGATAGGATCTGGAAAATATTGTTTAATAAATCCACGCCTTGGATAGGCTCTGGAAAATATTGTTTAATTAATCCCCTCCTTTTATTAAGCCTCGAAAATTATATTAATTAAAACTGCACGCCTTTGGCTTTCATAGGCCCTTGAAATTATTATTTTAATATCAATGCCTATTGATCCGATTGTCCTTATGGCCTTCGGTTACTTTCTAATTGTTTTCAACCAAATAATTATTTCTTCTTCGTCTTATTTTCTTTTCACAATCATTTATTCAATTTCATCATACCATGATCCTGTTTGTGCTTCTCCAATGCCTCTAGCATTGAATCCAAAAAATCGGGTAAATTAATTGTTGCCTTACAATCAAAATCAACATTATATGTGTGAGCGGCATGGGCCAAAAATGGTAACTTCCTCAAAGTTCGGCCACTTAAGCCTTTACTGCGCACAGATAACTCCTTAAGTAATCCCTCATGTTTATCATCACTTTGCAGTGATTCCGCACTTTCAATAATTCCAACACGTATTAATTCCGTAATCATTGAATCATAAATTTTCCGTATAGCCAATTCATTGGGCAAGCCGATATATTGTTTAATATCAGCTCGATCCAAAAATGCCATATCAATTGTGTCAGCTAAATTCGATGTGGCCAAAATCAAAACATTCGGATGTTCCTTAATACTATCCAATTGTGTAAGCAGAGCATTTACAACACGCATAGCATCTCTTGGTTCTTGTCCCGACATGCAATCGCGGGCATATGCCAATGACTCCACCTCATCGATGAGGACACAGACCAAGCTGTGCGAATCCTGAATGATTTCCTTGATCTTGCCAAAAAGACGCATAACCAATTTACCACTTTCCGAGAACCATTTGGAAAATAGCGAATGGGAATTGATTTCAATTAAATGGGTATAACGAAATATGGGACGACATCGGATGGATAATTTTTGGGCCAATGCCTTGCACAGACTCGTCTTGCCAGTACCTAAAAATAGAAAATTTTAAACATTAAAAAAATGTGAAAATATTGTATATTGAATCTTACCTGGTGGTCCGTGTAGTAATATTAGACGATTGCAGGACACCACATTTGTATTGACATTATGTTGGGAAAACATTAATGCCGAGAGAGCAAATTTGAGCAGTTTCTCTTTGGACCCTTCATCGTAAATCAAATGTTCCCATAAACCAACAAACGATTTTGAAGGCAACAACCAATGACTGGATGAAGGTATGGCCTCTGCCTCTGATTCCGCTTCGAACATTTCCATTTCCATGGGTCTTATTTGTGGCCAATAAAAATGGAATATGAAATACTCAACATCACTGGCAGAAGAAAGCTAAGAAATAAAGAAAACACAAAGAAATAAAAAAATAGATTAGAGGGGCGGATTTTTTAAATAATAATTTTTAAACCCCTATCAAAGGTGTGGATGTATTAAAGAATATTTTTCGATGGCCTATCAAAGGGGCGGATTTATTAAAGAATATTTTTCGAGAGCCTATCCAAGGCGTGGATTTATTAAAAAATATTTTTGAGAGCCTATTCATGGCGTGGTTTTATTAAAGAATATTTTTCCACAGGACCTATCAAAGGCTTGGATTTTTTAAAGAATATATCTCCCCAGGACCTATCAAAGGCGTGGATTTATTAAAGAAAATTTGTCGGCAGCCTATCCAAGCCGTGGTTTAATTAAAGAATATTTTTGAGAGCCTATTGGTTTTATTTAAGAATATTTTTGAGAGCCTATCCAAGGGATAGATTTATTTAAAAAAATCCCCAGAGCCTATCAAACATCCTATCCAAGGCATAGATTTAGAATATTTCCCCAAGGCCTATCAAACATCCTATCCAAGGCGTGGGTTTATTAAAGAAAATTTTTCGACAGCCTGTCAAGGGATTTATTAAAGGCTATTATTCGAGAGCTTATCAAAGGATTATCCATAAACAAACCAAATGTGGTCGACATAGTACCTTGCTTAGATATTGTCCTCGGGAATACCCCTGCCAAAAGAAGTCCAAATGTACATGGGCGAAACTTATCAGGCTTATAAGCCAGAATGGTGCAAACCTTATTCGGCACAAATTGATGGATCGATACCGAACACAAGCCCACAATGTGGACTCTGTCCACACGACAATTTTCCGCAGGGTATATGCGAATTGCTCAATGCATATGAAGGGATCTCATATTATGTCTATAAAAGAGGTGCTTTTTAGAAGAGGTATCATCTTCTGTCTACAAAAGGGGTCTGTTATTTTGCCTATAGAAGTGATCTATTCTTCTGTGTATGGAAGGGGCTTGGTCTTCCGTCTATAGAATGAATATCTTCCTCTGTCTTTAGAAAAGGACTTCTATCTGAGGAATGGACATAGTTTTCTATTTGTAGAAGGCAAAAGTCGATTTCCTTACATTTACATAGAATATACGTCAACTTCTATATATAGAATAGGTTTCTTTTAAATCGACAAGTCATCTCTATTCTCATATTGAAGACCCTATCAAATTCCCATTACACCCTTACCTCTCCATCCTTTTTACTTTCACATTCCAGTAAAATACTTTCAATGCATTTCAGCGGCTCCTCTTCCAGATCTTCCGGCGATAATTTAATAACCTCATTGAATGGTAGCTGTTTCCTGGCCAACAAATTCCTCAGCGGTCCTTCAATCAGCGACTGTAATTCTTCCAATCTTTTGCTAAACACCAATGAAGGAAAAATTTTATCAATTAAATTATTTAGGACAATATTCCACTCACTTACCCTGGTAATAATTTTACACAGACCTCCACGTGTACAGCTCGCTTGGAGGTAATCAATTTCATGTTTAATTTAGTTTTTTTTTTATTTGCAAATACTTTCTGTGTGGCAACAAACTCTGCCAACTGATCTTTTCATGTTGTGTGTATCTTACAATTTGCGTTGCTGTTGTTGCTTGCTGTTGTGTTTACATTTTTCGCAACAAATGTCATGTCATGGCACTTTGAAAATACGCGCGCGCCATATGTTAGAGTTGCCAACTAGAATTTGCCATTGTCTGCCCGGCAGTGGTTTGTGCATGAACTAATCACAATGCTAATGGGGTTATTGTGAATGGAATTTTTAAGGCAATGTAGAGTGCTTATTCCCGAGCACAAACAATTGTGAATATTTTTAAATTATTAAATAATAAAATATTCTGGAAAGAGAATTTGTAAATGAAATTAATATTTTTAAAACCTTTAATAAAAAATAAACTTAAAAATATGGACCTGCTGTTGTTAGAAAGTGGTGAGTATTTTAGTGCTCCTCGTATCATAATTTTTTTTCTCAGAAATCTTTAGATGACGAACTAGAAAACCGATTTATGTAGAAACAACAGCATAACTTCTTTGTCTTCCGGTACATTAGGTTCAAATCCAAACCAATTGGACAAAGTTTCGAGAATCGGTAAAATAAAGACTAAAATGCAGTGCATCAATAATCCTTCAAAGTAGCACCTATATATACCCCGTCATACAAAGCATGGATCTTCGCTACTTACGGAAGGAGATTGGGGAGCATACTCAGATTAAATCTGGGATACGATAATTGTCATCGAGGGAACAGTGGCTCAAATGATGGAGGAAAGTCACTCTTCTACTGATGCTGGCGTGGTTGTCCTGGCACCATCAGTCAACTATAGTATTAACACATTGCTCTTTTGTTGGAAACGAAGAATGAACTACCTAATACTACTACTTTGCATTTTATATCTGTAAAATATCTAGTTAACATTGTTTTGTGTAATTGTCATGGTATACAGAAAATTATAAAATAAATTTTCATTCGTTGTGAGACCTTTAATATAATAACAGGTTATGGGCCCTTCCGCGTTTTAAACTCGAAAATTAAGAATTATTTGTACACGATCAGAGAATAATAGCGAGAAAGGCAACGAATATGCAATTGGAGAAACTTCGCGGAAGCGAAAACTTTGAAGACTGGAAGTTTGCAGTAGAGGCATATTTCCAAATGAAAGGTCTGTGGAAATCCATTCAAGGGACCGAAGATAAAGAAGACAAGAAAATTCAAGCCAAGCCAGAATTAGTCTTATTGATTGAGAAGTCTGTTTACCCTCATATACGAGAATGTGCGAGTGCAAAAGATATATGGACTGCATTAGCAAACATTTATGAGGACAATGGCCTGGTCAGGAGAGTTGGATTAATTCAAAAATTCTGCTCAACAAAATTGAAAGATTGTTCAAATGTTGAGGAATATGTAAATGAGATAATTAACTCAGCGTCCAAATTAAGGGCTGTTGGACTCAACGTAGATGAAGAGTGGATCGGATCAATGCTATTAGCTGGATTACCTGATTACTATACGCCTATGATTATGGGTATTCAAAGCTCAGGTATAAAAATAACTGGTGACGCTATAAAATTGAAAATATTGCAAGATGTGAAGAATGAACCAACTGAAATGGCTCTAGCTGGCAACAAAAAGAGAATTGGCAAGTATGTTAAAGGACCCAAGTGTTATAATTGCAACCAATACGGTCATATAGCCGCCAAATGCCCAAACAAATCATCCAAGAAAGCATTTACAAAGAAAGATGGTGGGAATTCTGCGATGGGAGCGTTTTCAGTACGTAAACTGAATAACAATGATTGGTACTTCGATTCCGGCGCTACAGCCCATATGTGTTCAAGTAAGGAATTTTTTAGTGATCGATATGAACAAACAACTTCTGAGGTAATCATAGCAAATAATTCTTCAATGCGTGTTAATGGAGTTGGAAATGTCGACATGGTTTCATTGGTAGGAAACTCCAGGAAAGAAAACGTTACTTTCAAAAATGTTCTGCACATTCCGGATTTGTATATAAATCTATTGTCCGTTTCAAAAATTGTTGAAAACGGATACAAAGTTGTATTTGATGCAAAAGGTTGCAGAGTTATCAACAATTGTGGCGATATTATTGTTACAGGAGATTTGGTTGAAGGAATGTTTCGCATGAATTTTTCAAGTAACAAAGCAATGGTTTCTCAATGTAAGATTGAAGAAGGTAAATTGTGGCATAAGCGAATCGGTCATGTGAACAATGAAACATTGAAGAAAATGGCATCAGGGGCAGTTATTGGAATAAATTGTGAGCAAAGTGAAGAAAATTGTATTTCTTGCTTGAAAGGGAAAATATCAAGAACCCCATTTAACGATACTGGAACTAGAGCTAACGGTATATTAGATTTAATTCATACAGACCTGTGTGGTCCAATGGATACAAATTCCATTAGTGGTTCTCGATATATATTAACTTTTATAGATGATTACTCGAGAAAAGTTTTTATATATTTTCTCAAACGGAAGTCTGAAGTGACTGAAAAGTTTCTCGAATTCAAAAAATTGGTCGAAAATCAAACAGGAAGACATATTAAGTCGTTAAGAAGCGACAACGGAACTGAATACTGCAATGAAATGATGAGACGCATTTTTGTTGAACACGGTATTTATCACCAAACTACGGCACCATATTCGCCTCAGCAAAATGGTGTATCTGAAAGAATGAACAGAACCATAATAGAAAAAACTAGGTGTCTTCTGATTCAATCCTGCTTCCCCAAGAAATTTTGGGCTGAAGCGGCAAACACTGCAGTTCATTTAATTAATTTAACACCGACGAAAAAGCTGAATGAAATTTCTCCGGAAGAAGTATGGTCAGGTAAGAAGCCCTGTTTAACGTATCTTAGAGTGTTTGGATGTAAATCCGTGATTCACATCCCAAAGCAAAAACGAAAGAAATCGGATGCAAAGGGAAAAGAAGTTTTATTTGTAGGCTATAGCAATTCCAAAAAGACATCGTTTCTTTGATCCCAGTAGAAACATCGTTGAATTAAGTAGAGATGCCAAGTTTTTGGAAAGTCATTTCTACGAAGATATGCCAAAAGACGATGCAAATTTTTATTATTTTCGCCGATGCGATTCAGTGGGGGAAAGAGCACTTAATGAACCTATTGATGAAGATGCAACTAATGTACCTAATCATGGTGATGCAAATGATGATACATTGCAAGGCTCAAATTTTCAAGAAATAGAAGAGAGACAAAGTGATCAAGAAAATTCAGAATGTGAATACTTTTCAGAAGAAACGGATTGTTCAACTTTTCTTGGTTTCGACAATGTTTCGGAAAATATGAATCAGAGATCATCAGATACGGGAATCGCACCGACAAATAATATAAGAAGATCAACAAGAATTTCAAGACCGACAACAAGATATGGATATGTGTGTCTCGTATCGAGTGAAGATGAGGAACCAAAGACGGTACAACAAGCGTTGG